CGTCGACTATCACTATCACGCCGTCAACTACCACTAGCACGCCGTCGACTATCACTAGCACGCCGTCGACTATCACTAGCACGCCGTCAACTATCACTAGCACGCCGTCAACTACTACTAGCATGGCCTCGACTACTACTAGCATGCCCTCGACTACTACTAGCATGCCCTCGACTACTAGTAGCATGCCCTCGACTATCACTAGCACGCCGTCAACTACTACTAGTAGTATGGCCTCGACTACCACTAGCATGGCCTCGACTACTACTTACTTGCCGTCAACTACTACTAGCATGCCATCCACTATTACTAGCATGCCGTCGAATACTTCTACTAGCATGGCCTCGACCACCAGTAGCATGGACTCGACTACTACTAGCACGCCGTCGACTATCACTATCACGCCGTCAACTACCACTAGCACGCCGTCGACTATCACTAGCACGCCGTCGACTATCACTAGCACGCCGTCAACTATCACTAGCACGCCGTCAACTACTACTAGCATGGCCTCGACTACCACTAGCACGGCCTCGACGACTACTACTAGCATGGCCTCGACTATCACTAGCACGCCGTCAACTACTACTAGCATAGCCTCGACTACTACCACCATGGACTCGACTACTACTAGCATGGCCTCGACTACTACTAGCATGCCTTCGACTACTACCAGCATGGACTCGACTACTACTAGCATGGCCTCGACTATCACTAGCACGCCGTCAACTACTACTAGCATAGCCTCGACTACTACCAGCATGGACTCGACTACTACTAGCATGGCCTCGACTACTACTAGTATGGCCTCGACTACTACCAGCATGCCTTCGACTACCTCTATAACCTTGCCGTCGACTACTTCTACTAGCATGTCGTCGACTACCAACACTAGCATGCCATCGACTACCACCACTTGCATGCCATCGACTACCACCACCAGCATGCCATCGACTATCACCACTAGCATGCCATCGACCATCACCACTAGCATGCCATCGACTATCACCACTAGCATGTCTCCGACCACCACTACTAGCATGCCGTCGACTACCTCAACGACCACATTTTCTAGCAGTACCACCTCGAGCCAGACTAGTAGCTGTAGGAAAGCAGATGAGATCTGTGCTGAGTCGTATGTTGGATCATACTGCAAGTACTGGATGGATACACCTACATGTTTTGGGAGCAACATCCCGTGTTCCTGTTCTGCCCAACATGGAAGTACAAGTACCACTAAGTCTGTGCTGAAATGTGATGATGAGTGTGCCGCCGAACTCCCAGGTTCTTATTGTAAGTACTGGGCGAATCCTTCGGTCTGTTTTGGCTCAAGCAAGCTCTGTTCTTGCTAAATTGTCCAGTTTCGTCACCAGTAGGCGCTTTGGTCACTTTTCCATGATCGTATTTTTCGTCCCTCTCCAGCCTTGTGAGCTGTTTGACTTCGCCCTCTCAACTCGATTAAGAGATGATTCTTTTCCTCCAACTCTGCTGCTATTTGTTCAGTCAATGTGAGGTTAACAGTAACAGGGGGTAGAGGACCCAGCGATTTCTGCCGTGAATAGATCAACGGACGATCAGAACCCCAACTTGACAGAACGCGTTATTACGGAACGGTGAGGTTCGATAAGATTGTATCCCAGCGCTATCTGATTCACATTGATGTCTTTCGTATTTGAAAAATTCCGGATGACGATGTCTGACGGTTTGGATGACGTTGAACCGAGCGGCTCATGTAGCCGCTCACTTGATGATGGGAAATGACCGGTTCTCCGTACTTTTCATTCTTTCGCCCATTGGCGAAGTATTTTATATCTCTTGCTCTCGGTAATGATAGATCTCGATGTTCCCTTTACATTCAAAATCAGACACACGCAACCGACACAGGTTGCGGCATGCAATTTGAGAAACAGTTCCGAGGGCTGTGGAACAATAGAAGAAGAATAGTTTGTTGACAGGGCGTGTTAAGAAACTTCACGCGTAAGTGCAGAACTACGGACCAACCTAGAGAGCCCTAAGGAAGTTCCTCATCGCACGCGAATAATACGAGTGAATACTCTCATCTCAGACTCGCCAGTATACGTGGGGGTTGTCTCGCAGCAAGTTGTCCCGATACACAAAATTACGACGCAAAGTAGACATAGCTATGTTCGAGCCCTATTCGCTTAGAACTAGTGATCAATATCACTTTTGTGAACGACGTTGCCAATATGAAGTTCGCTGTTGCAAGTGCCGCTACTTTGACCGTTGTTCTCGCTGGTCAGTGCACCAGTGAGGACCAAGCCTTCTGGACTTCCTATGGTCAGACGTTCAGCAACTTCCTTGCTGGGTGTGGGAAACAAGCCTGGGGTGATGCCAAGGGTACCACCAAATGTCTAGTGAATGACCCCATGAACAAACTCACTTCTTCTTGTGCCCAATGTTTTGGTGATTCTGTTGAATGCGGGAGAGGCTCATGTATGTTCAGCTGCATTTCTGGGCCCGCCACGAGCAAGTGTCTTAAGTGTATACATAAGTCTGACTGTGATGACAAACTTTATGCCTGCACTGGATACTCTGCTGACGAAATGCCGCCTGATCCGACCGGAACTGTTTCGACTTTGCCTGTGACTACTGCAGCACCGACTACTACCACTACCACCACTACCACCACTACCACCACTACCACCACTACCACCACTACCACCACTACCACCACTACCACCACTACCACCACTACCACCACTACCACCACTACCACCACAACCACCACTACCACTACTCCTAGCACTACTACTACTCCTAGCACGACTACCACCACTCCTAGCACTACTACTCCTACCACGACTACCACCACTCCTAGCACGACTACCACCACTCCTAGCACTACTTCTACTACCACAACCACCACTCCTAGCACTACTACCACAACTACCACAACTACCACACCAACTACTACAACTCCTTCTACCACGACCACTACTACCAGTGCCACTACGACTTTTCCCAGCACTACCACTACAACTACGTCTAGTACTACCACTACAACTACGTCTAGTACTACCGCTACAACTACGTCTAGTACTACCACTACAACTACGTCTAGTACTACCGCTACAATTAGCCCGAGCGTTTCATCTACTACTAGCATTACTGCTACTACTTCTATCCCGAGCAGCACCACCGCTTCTCTGCAAGGGATGTGCAGCAGCAGCGATCACGATTTGTGGGCTTCTTATGGACAAGCTTACAGTAACTTCATCGCTTACTGTGGTCTCCAGTCGTTCGGTGATGCCAAGGCTAGTACTGCCTGTATTGAGAAGTCCGGGTTGTCCGATTCCTGTTCTAACTGCTTCGGTCAGTCGATTCAGTGTGGTCGTGACGTGTGTATGATGAGCTGCATTTCTGGCCCTGCTACTAAGAAGTGCTTGAACTGTATCGCGAAGACCAAGTGCAACCCTGATCTGTACAAGTGCACAGGTTATACAGTCAATGAGATGCCGCCTAACCCAACTGGTACCAGTCCTTTGCCCACCACTACCATTGCTCCTGTCACTACCACCGTCGCCCCCACTACTGAGTCGACTGTCACTACCACCGTCGCCCCCACTACTGAGTCGACTGTCACTACCACTGTCGCCCCCACTACTGAGTCGACTGTCACTACCACTGTCGCCCCCACTACTGAGTCGACTGTCACTACCACCGTCGCCCCCACTACTGAGTCGACTGTCACTACCACCGTCGCCCCCACTACTGAGTCGACTGTCACTACCACCGTCGCCCCCACTACTGAGTCGACTGTCACTACCACCGTCGCCCCCACTACTGAGTCGACTGTCACTACCACCGTCGCCCCCACTACGGAGTCAATTGCCACTACCACTGTCGCCCCCACTACGGAGTCAATTGCCACTACCACCGTCGCCCCCACTACTGAGTCGACTGCCACTACCAGTGTCGCTCCCACTACTGAGTCGACTGTCACTACCACTGTCGCTCCCACTACTGTCGGCCCGGTCGAAACCTCGACTACTGCTGCTCCTGCGCCAAAGCACAGCTGCGTTGAGGCCGACAAGATCTGTGCGCAGTCCTATGCGGGTTCGTACTGCAAGTATTGGATGGATGAGCCTACTTGTTTCGGTAGCGATATCGCTTGCTCTTGTTCTGACGACACCGTTAGTACTACCACACACTCCATTGCTCAATGTGATGCTGAGTGTGCTGCTGGATTCCCGGGATCTTATTGCAAGTACTGGGAGGAGCCTTCGGTCTGCTTCGGTTCAAACAAGCCTTGCTCTTGCTAAGGGTTTTACATTCGTCCGATATGAGCGTGTTGCACAATTTTCCTAAGTTGGATTTTCGTTCTTCCACATTCGTGGACTGTTTGAATGAGCCCATTCCTCTTATTAAGAGACTCTCACTTGGAGAGAAATCAGTTTTCCCATGATTTGTATATTGGAGTTCGTCAAGGAAGGAGGGGTTTGACATCTATGTCGGGTGGGGGATTACACCTATACAGTGCGTGCAGATCTCATGGCATTGGGTTATTGTTGTACGACCAGCAACACTGCCATCCGCGGTAGAAGATGTGATGGGCTGTCCTTGATAGGACTGGTTACTGTACTCGCATGTGGATGATTCACGGGGCCTATGCCCAGATCCTATATTGTGAAAAACAAGGATAGTCTGGGCTGCTCAGCCCGTTTTCGACAATCTGTGTAATATGGCAGAGACGTGTTGCATTGTTGTGGAAGAGACCGCATTAAATTGTTGTGGTAGGGTCTCTAGTGTAGAGACCGCATTCAAAGATTTTGGGGTGCTTCTCGGGTCCAACTGATAATTGACTCACCTGCATTGTTGGCACGGAATGGGGTCCGCTCTCGATCGATGTGCATGCTGTACCTCCTCCCGTTGAGTCTCTTCCAATGAATATCCGGTCCACTGGAGACCATACCACCACTCATTTGGATAGTTTGACAAACAGCCCACTGAGTTGAACTCCGTTCTCGTTGCTACGTTACTCAACTTCGTTGCTTGGAATTTCGGAGTTATCTTATTACTATCACAATTTCATTACATTCGCGGCCAATCGATTCACACTAGAAACTCAATGCGCGGCTTGATTGAGAGGAACATATTATTTGGCTCAGGATCAGCCTAAGAGCGTGAAGGAAGCGTAGAGCGCGGAATGATGTAAAGGTTTGTTCCGCCAGCACGAACGATGTGTTAATAGCTATAGTAGGATTCTCTATAAGCTTATAATTGTTTGGTACCTGACGAGCACATAATCAATCCAATGAGCGGAGCGAGACCCCCTTACAGTCCGAACACTAATGTGTATATGGACAGCAGGATGATCAGAATTTCTCCGGTGAAATGAACGACGCGTCCGGAGTAAATGGCACGCAGGCCAGCAGTATTGACGAAACAGGCCTTCCAGTAAAAGAAGAGAGGAAGTAACATAACCTGAAACACTAGAGTATGAAATCAAGAACAGATTTGAACATGAATTCCCCACGAGCGCTACTATCACTTCCTCAACGATAGACATTTATAATATAAATTTTATATACTTTATTATACGCTTATCACAAGCACAAATGCACGCCATTATATCTCTCTGAATGTGTCTTACACAGGGCATCCCGAGGATAGCTCCCAAAATAGATATCAGAGTCATAACGCCAGGAATGACAACAGCAAGAAGAGCGCATAATGCCACAAGAGCCGTTCGTATAGCATAGCATATCAGATGGCGCATTGGAGCATCCTCTGGGATAAGCCTCTCACAGTCCATAGCAACCGGAGTGAAGAGAGCGAGGAAATGAGTTGCGCACAATACTAGAATACAGACGATGATAGCATAGCCAGCCCAGTTAAGTTTGCCAGTAGAGGTCGAGATGGCACTCACAATATCGCCATATCGGGCTATACCGTCACCATAGCCCGCATAACCAGCAGCCATGATGCCTATGTAGACGGCGAATATTATAGCGAAAGCCCAAATGAGCGCTTTGCTGAATTTGCTAGGTTCCCCCACGCCATTGAGAACTGCGGACACCATAGTAGTGAGACCGAAAGATGTCATCAAAGTTGCCATAGCGCTACCAAGCTGGTCATTGAAGAGGTGATACTCTAGCGTGTCACCCTCGCTAACAGCATTCGTAGCACTGGCTATGATGATGACTATACAAGTGGCGATTATAGAAATGACGCCAACTGATGATAGCCAGCCGATTGCCTTCATCGATCGGATCCAGACGAAGGGGGCCATAAGACACGCGTAAATGAGGACCCACCAGTCTTGCGTTAGAACAGGCCATAGCCGCATAGTGTTTTCGGCAAAGAGAATCAACATAAT